AGCAGCCTGTGACTTCGTTATTCCGGTGATACTGCCAATGAGAGATCGCCGACGGCCTCAGTCCAATCGCCTTTGGGATGAAGCCATCGCGGTCCAGGTCGCTCTGCGCACCGAGCTTGCGCAGGGACTTCAAGCGCTCTGCACACGCAGTCACTGTGTCCTGCTGGAAGGCTGTCCGAAGCTGGTCGAAGTCCCGGTGCGGCACTGCACGAAGTTGTCATGGTCAAGCAACGCACGTCTTGCGTTGAATGGAGCTGTGCAGTTTGCACCACTCTAGGCTCGGAACCCACGGCAGGCAACAGTATGAGGCTCAACGAATAGCACAGCATCTTGTACCGTAGCTCCTTGGCTGCAAAGGCGACAAGGCGAAGCCAAAGCGGGACACGGCACATCCCCCAGCGGTAGCTTCGAGCGTCCCTCCGAGCTGCCAAGGGGCCCTGGCTTCTTTCGTGTTGCTGTGATTCGTATTGATGGTGCTGATAGGCATGATGCCCTGAGACGAGACGAGCATGTTCTGATCCTGATGGAAAGACGGTTTTCAGCTGTGTCGGGTGCCTTCAGCCACGGATGATGCAAGGCTTTTGCGGCGGTCGGCCGCTCTCCAGCAGGCCTCAACAAGCATGGTATGCTCTCCTCTTGACAGCGGCGATGCTGCTCGGTTGATATGTACATGCGCGCAAGCAGAGTTCGAAAAAACAGCACGACGGGTTGTGTTGACACTTCACAAGCTGTTGGTAGCATGCCAATGTTGAGGCTTGCTTCGACAACATGGGCTACATTCTTCAGTTGTCAGTCGCGGCACACGACCATGATGTAAGGAGCGGAAACAAGAGACAAAGAACTCGGACAGAGAAGAGACAACTCGAAAACACACGGTCCGGAGCTGTGGGCCTTACTTAGACTCGGCGGCCAGGCCTCAGAAGCCGCAGGACGAAGTCTCGGGCCATCGGACTTCTCTCACTCCATCCTGACATGGGATGGGATCGTCGGGGTCCCTACATCAACTCCTGGTGCAAAGCACCTTCGTCATCCCTGCTAAAGCCCCAGCCTCTCCTGCGCGCAGAAGCACAGAAGCACGAGCACAGAAGCACCCTAGGTTGCAAGTCGCAAGGCTCCTTGAGCTCACGCTGGCACCGCTTCCCACGAGGAGTGCATGGGCGATGGCACCCACACTGGCGCATTCAGAGTTGCGATGCTGCAAGGTGTGGCACTACTAGAGTCGCTCACTGTCGACCGCATTGCATGATGCATTGCTTTTTTTCGCATCAGGGCCTCCACATGTCAGCGCCGCCGTGCTTTATGGGCTCGGAGTTCTTTAAAATCTGGCATGTGTGTGGTACAGCATGCTGCATCTTGCATTTTGTGCCCAAGATGGAATCGCAAAGCACTGGGGCCCAAGCTTCTGGCACCGTGTACTCGTTCGGGTGCTTCTGAATGATCCTTGCAATCGCTGAGGCTGACGAGGGTCGAGGCCACCCCCAACAAGGCCAAGGGACGCATTGTCGGGATCCAGTATGTTTGCGAGGCCAAAGTCCACCACCTACGACGACGACAGCAGGAGGGGAGAGGACATGGGGGGGCGTGGTCTTTGCAAAGGCCAGCGGGGCCAAGGCATGCCTTAATGACGGCATCTGGCAGCTTCGTGGTCAGGAGGAGGTTGCTGGGCTTCAAGTCACGATGGAAGACCTCTCGGGCTATCGGGCTGCGCCGTGTCCAGCTTTCCGAGTGTCCTGCCGAAGTGGCCTGTGCTGAATGGCTGTGGCACAAGGCTAGCAGTGCCTGTACGGAGTGCTTTGCCCATCTGACAGTTACAACGCCCTCAACCTGCCTGGCGTACGTAAGCTGCACATGTCGATTCCTTCACATGCGGTGTTGGCCGTGGCGAAGTTTGCCTATATTGCAGAATGGAAGACAACGTGCCTGCAACCAATTGCCCTCGTCCATTTTCTCTAGCCAGTCCTGCCAAAAGCATTGAAATGGATTCCGCGGCAGACTTGAGACGGGGGCCACGAAAGCTAGTCGGAGTAAGGTTTGAAGGCCACGATGCGCGCGTTCGCAGTAGTTCGCAGTTGAGAAGCGCAACGAATCTCTTGACTTGCCTTGCTTCTGGGTGTCTTTGCATGTAGCCTGAGGGTTTGCTTACAGTAGGTTGTTTACCAAAGCTCGGAATCGTCGTGGTGGGCGCAGGCCGGGTTTGCGCACCATCCTTCAGCCGCAAAGGCGCAGGGCGGGGACTCACCTACAAGCCTTCAAGATCCGATTTATCATCAGACCTAAAGGCCCCCAGAATGTCATGTTAGCTGGTTCAGGCTCTTTTGTCTCTCTTCCCGACAATCCTGCGGAGCTAACTTTCATACTGCGCACAGCCTGGACATCACCGCCCATGTAGTAATCGCTGATGATGTAGTAGTTCTTGTCATCCTGCAGAGGACTAGAGATGACATGTGCCTTCCTCCGCACAGAAGGGCCACTGTATGCAGTCCTCCATCAGATCAGTGATGCTTGAGATGTGTGGATGCTGTAGATCCTGCGTCTTGCAAACACACAGGCCGTCTTGATTTCGTCCTGTCTTTGGACGAGACATGCAGTGTGGCCTGTAACGTGCTGAGCTTTTCCATCACGTTGGTGGCCGTTCGCACCGTCGCCTGCACACGAAAAACTAACGTCCGCTGTCTCTGGCACATTATTGGGAAATGCCTTGGGCACGGTCTTGCACATCTTCAGTTTCTGGGAGTCTTTCTCTTTCATGACCTGACGCGGCGAACGACGTTTAAGCAAGGCTTCCTACGAGGGTTCATGTCAACTGCGGCATGCCATCGCCGTGAGAAGCTCTTTTGACAACGACGAGCCGTCCAACGGGGACAGGCTCGTCATTTCTGTCTTGCGCCCGAGTCTTCAAGGTGCAGCCAGACAAAACGCAGCCCAAGGTTGGCAAGCTCGAGATGCTCTTGTCAGAAGCAGAGGATGACCAAGACCTTGCACGTATTTCGTAGCATGAGAACGGAAGAGGATACCAGCTTGCATGTCGCCCGCCCTTGGCCACAGAAATAAACAGCATGTTTTGCAGTGCGCGCTTTCGGCGACGCGCTACTCCATGCTCAGCCACTTGATCTTATTATCACACGTGCAGCTTCCCTCAGGACACTTGCACGGCGGAAAGATGGATGGAGATTCGCCGCACACTTGGAAGCCCGACTTGGCAATATGCCAAGTCGGGCTTCCAAGTGTGCGGCGAATCTCCATCCATCTTTTCGCACTTTCTGGCCGGTTCGTTGGTCTCCAGCACTGTCAGTCTATGCTCGAAATGGCTGCCCCTAGGTTTTCAGCGCGCTTCTCGGCCGCTTCGATCAGCAGACCGCCCAAGCCCCGTACTTGATGGGGGCGGTCGACGTTGCAGTGCTTGGTCGTCAGCGTATGGTCTGCGAAAGATGCGTGCTGTGCGACTGCTGGTAGTGTGAAGGCAGACGGGCGACTCCGGTCGCCATCTCTTCAATGACCTTAAGACGGCTTTTTTCGTCATCCGTGTTGACATTCACGATAGCCTCAACGCGCAGCCTGTAGCAGTCGAGCACACGAAGTACCTTGGCTGTGCGGCTCAAAGATCAAGCGAAATTGTAACAAGTTCCCAGAACGCTCACAAAAAAGAAACCGTAATTGCTGAGAGCCCGAAGAAACTATGTCAACCAAGCGTGGTGGTGGTGGTGGTGGTGGTGGTGGTGGTGGTGGTGGTGGTGGTGGTGGTGGTGGTGGTGGTGGTGGTGGTGGTGGTGGTGGTGGTGGTGGTTGGTGGTGGTGGTGGTGGTGGTGGTGGTGGTGGTGGTGGTGGTGGTGGTGGTGGTGGTGGTGGTGGTGGTGGTGGGGGTGGTGGTGGTGGTGGTGGTGGTGGTGGTGGTGAATCGAGGTGGCTACTTCCGCAGCAGAGAGACGTGGTTCGGACCCACATATGCACTCAAGGATCTGCATACTGCATTGGAACGTTGATCAGGCCAATCCAGGCCAGCAGCTTGCTCGGAACGCACATCCTTGTACCATTGCTGATGTTGGTGAAGGCGCAATCAACTGCTGAGATACTCTTCGTCTTCCCGGACGATGCGTGCGCTTGCCGTTTTCAGGACTCATAGTTGCTCTCATCCTTCCCCAGTCGAAGATCGCTAAGAGGCTCCTTGCTGACTGGCAGGGGACGGGGATGGAGAATAAGTTGCTTGGCTCTTTGTTCGGTATCCTCGTGTTGTTTTATGCTTTCAAACAAACACTTGCTTTCTTCTAAGACTTCGGACTCCTTTTGCGCGGCTCTTCAGCGCCGCAAAGAAAAATCTCCTGGAAGCTCAGTGGAACTCTGCCACTGACTTGACCTCCGGCCTACCTCTTCTTCGCGTTCACTGCTGGCGGCGAGCTCGCCTCGCTTCTCCTCATGCTCTCTCTGGCACTGCACTCTGCGGCGTAGTCCCAGGCCCTAGGCTTTGCTTTCTCGAGCATGCCCTGCACCTTTGCCACGTTCACCGTAAGTTCAACGAGTCCAGCAATGTCCATCTTCAAGTCCAGGTTAATGCTTACCTTGAGTATCGGTCGGCCTGTCGCCACGTCCAGATCCATCTTTGATGTAACTGGAGGTGTCAGTCGTGAGAGCTAAAGGCAGCGACCCCACTGCCATAGTGACAGCCGGAGTGCCTCCACGGCGCCACTGGGACCACTCGACCGTGTGCCCTACGGCCCTACAGCCCTTGAGCCAAGTGATGACGGCATGACGGCACCTGATATCCAACATTCGAAGAGTTCAACGTGCGAGCTTTCCAAACTTTGGCCCACATATCCCAGAGCCGTAGGGCCTTCCTGGGACCTGTGTGTCAACAACAGCCGATTCGAGCGCACGCTTCACCCAACAAGTAGCAACACAGAGACAACAACTTCAAGCCGTCTAATACGAAGAAGCCTCCTGCTTTTGCCTTCTAAGCACAGCCCGGCAGAGTACGGGTAAAGCTCCAAAACACCACGGCTTCTTTTTACCCCTGCAATCCAGCATCGGCCTGGCACAGAAGCACTCGCACAGGTGGCGATGCATGCATGTGGACTCGGGGCTGAATACAATGAATAGCGGAACTATCCAAACAGGGAGAGCTCTGAGGCAAGAGACTCCTTCGTCCCGGTGCCAGCTTCTGGCTCCATCTGAGGCTTTGCTCAGACGCGTCCACGATCACGGGAGCAGCCTGGACCTGAGCACGTGACCAGGTCGCGACAGCTGTCTCGTCGTGGCCGCGGTAAGCGGCGCTGCCCCGTCTGAGGCGACCGGCCCAGTACTTGGGAGGCTGTATCCTTCGGAGGACTTCCGGTGCAAAATGCACCAGCACAACACCTCCAAGCTCTGCGACAACATCGCCTCACCCTCACCGTGTCGGCTGCAGATTCTTTAACATGTGCCTCAAAATTCAGCACGGATGACACGCACACACGCACACACACACATACAAAGATGCTGAAGCTGTGTGAAGGAGGTCCAGGTGCCTCATTGCATGAGCTGGAGATGGAAGACCTGCAGCTTCCCAACATTTCCCAACCCTTCGGCGCCCAGCAGTGCACTGACGCATCAAGTCTCAGGTGTCGGCCTGCTCAGGGATGGTAGCGAGCCCGCATTTCTTTGGCGGGCTATCTGAGACCCAAGGGTCGCACGGCACCTGCACCACTGGACCACAAGCCTTCGGAGAAGGGGTGGAGGGTTGCCCAGGATGCCTCAGAGCGCCTGACGACGGCGGGCTTGCTAGGGCCGACCTCAGCCACGGCTGACAGCTCCCCACCACAGCGCACATCCTTTGGCGGCGGGGCCCGGGTCCCGGGTCCCGGCGGCGGAGCCCGAGCCGCTCTGGTGACCAGTGGCGAGCCGAGAACCTCCTTCTCCCTGCCACGGCTGCTGCGACAAAACGCAGCCCTTTCAGCCCTTTCCGGTCTTGCGAGTACTGCGGCAGCCGCCTTGCGGTGCTGAACGGATCTCTCCTCGAAAAGCATCAACGTATGGTTTTCCCTACCGGGCTCTCCCTGCCAACTCAGACCCTGGCACCGGTTCGTCAGCAAGCTTCCTGCAGACGACGGGAAAGTCATGTTCAAGCACATCACCAACACACCGAGGGACAAAGCACATCAACATTCTGTGGCATTGTGCTTGCCATGTGGACCTTTCTTAGTCACGAATTCCCGACATTGTTCATCTATGGGGCTGCAAAATTCCAGACTCAGGAGGGAGGCAAACGACACAAATGACGTCTCGACATAGGGATGACATAGGGGTTCTGCAACCCGTGTAGCCTCTTTGCTTTGGAGCGACTCGTCTTGCGCTTGCTTATCACAATGCCATGCCGCAGCCAGCACACAGCATGTGGCTGCAATTTTCCGATGTTGTCCTGTACCTCCTGGTTCTTTCTTTGACATCTTTTCCAGCGTTGCCGCCGGCAGGCTGCTCGAGGTGCAAATGCGTCTTTCGCGGCTGCTGGCCACAAGGCCAATTTGGACTCGTGTCGGCTTTGGGCGAAGACATTGCTGTTCTGAAAGACTCAGCCTGGGCTCATCAAATGTGCAAACAGTGCCTGTTGCAGATCATTGACACTCGTAAAGCGGGCTCATGTAAGCCTGCAGAGGAAAAAGGACCGAACCGCGGATGCCTCTGGCGAACGTCGTCGAGAAGACACAGTGTTGGGGGAAATGAGACGTTCGATTGCAGTGACTGATTGGCGTGGAAGGCTGCAGGGCTGGCAAACTGCAGTCTTCACGTCTTGTGTGCAGACAAGGTATCGATTTGCAGCGGGAGGCGAAACTTAAGTCACAAAACGCCCGACAACTCAGCACGCGACACGGTCTCGGCAATGCCATGCCCCATTCCAGGCTGCCTTCTTGTTGCGCAAATCTTGGGAGGCAGCTCACTTTCACCGAGAGTCTGGCCACGAGTATGCCCCAACTTCGACAGCCGGGCTGGCCCTGGCCGGCTGGTAGCTACTTGCGCTTATGCAGGAGAGCTGTCCCAAAGGACGCCCCCAGCCGCTAGCCTTTGTACTCGAGTCGAGAGATCGGCAAGCGTGTTCCTGCGGTAACGTTCAGCTGACGAGATTCCTGCAGGGGCTCCACGGGCAAACTCAGCTGGCCTATAGGCAAACGGAGGCGAGAGGAATGCAGCGACGAGGGACGCCCTGGCCACTGCTGACGGCCTGTGATGTCAACACCGTCTTCTGCCAACGCCCAAGGCCCAAGCAGGGTCTCTGAGACGACGGCGCATCGTCAGTGGACTCTGCAAGACTCCTGCCAACTGCATCTATCGATGATGCAGCACAACGATCCAAGTATTTACTATGTACATGCAGTTCTCTCAACTATTCCGAAAAGCTCATTCCACATCTTGGCACATTGCCTGCTCTGGAGTGGAGGTGACACAAGTTGGGCAACGGGGCCTGTCCTGGAAAACTCACGCAGGTCAAGATCTCGCCGGCTTTCCTTTTGCCAAGCTCGCGGCGGCACTGCGACCGATCCCGGCCACTTCCAGGTTGTTGCGACCACGGCAGGCGGTCGGGGCATCCTGGGTCTCCGCTGTGACCCCCTTGCTATGTCTAGCCATGTCTAGCCGCTGTAGCCGTTTACAGTTCTTTGGAATTCGCTTCCGACTGGCAACTGCCCGTAGCTCGCATTACACCGACCATGTGAAGGGTTGAGAAGGTGCGACCCTCGCGACGGCTCCTGGTAGCCGCATAAGGCAGCGCGGCTTGTGAAGGGCAGATGGTCTGCCTCTCCGAAATTGCATCGGGCTTGCAGTAATCTGCCAGGTGCACACCCGCCTTGGCTGTGGCACCTGCAATGAGTGAAGTGTCCTCAGCAGCTGAAACGCCGGCAGAGCTGCCCGAGCTGGCCCCGAGCCTCTGGCCTTCGAAGACAGGGTGACGGGTCTTTGCATCTCCCTTGGCACCTCCGCTTCCACTTATATAGACTTCCGCTTCCACGGACACGGGCGCTTGCTTGCGTTTTGCCGAGCTGCGAAGTTCGAAGGTCGGGCGAGGTGGCCCCGAGCTCCAGAGTTGCACGGAGGTCTACCGGCCTGCAGGGGAGTCGGGCTCCCCCCCCTTCGTTGGCACCGCTCGCAGACACCGGGCCTGGTGGGCTCAGCCTGGCAGGCAGCGAAGAGCGCAAAATGGTGCAAGCATCGGCATGGCCCCAAGGCCAAAGCCACGGCGGCCACGGAGGCAAAGGGATTCTTTGGCAGTTCTTTGGCGCTTGCGGCCTGCAGGTCTTCCAGTAGCATCAGTCCTTCCACAAGGCTCCTTGAACTTCTGCGGGTCCGGCAAGACACTCGGCTTTTGGCAGCAACGACGCATCACCTGAGCTGGAGCTTGTGCTCGTGGCACTTCGAACTTTGATCTCGCAACACGGTCCTCTGAGTGAGGAGCTCTCTGCATCTTCTTCCCCGCCCTCGAATCTCACTCTCTGCACATCTCTGCACTCTTTGCGCAGCGCTTCGGCCAGGCCTCGAGCAGCTTGAGCTTGGCAGATCGGTGTGGCCTCGCAGGAGAGCGGAGAGCTCCCTCAGGCTGACTTTATCACTACCGACCCCTCCCCTCCCCCCTCACGCCACAATCAAAGTGGTCGACGATCGAGCGCTTCGACGCCGTCTAATCGTGGCAAACTGCGCGGAGATCCAAACCCTAAGGATCAATCGACTCAGTACTGGGCTTGATCAGCTCTGCAGATTCGGGGAGGTCGGGCCTGAGAGCTAGATCCGATAAGAACAAAGGTTACAGCTTGATGACCTTGGGCTACCGCAACATTGGGCCAACAGGCTCGCAGCGCAACTTTCCCTCGGCAGCTCGTCGTGCCATCAATGGGAGGCGCAAACTCACCGAAGTGAGGACTGGGAATGCAGCACACTGCGGCCGTTTCGGACTGCGACTGCTCCTCGCCACACTTTCGGATTTTGCAGTGCCAGTGGCCCTGACCGGAAGGCGGAAGGGCCTCTGAAGCCGACTTGACGATGGTGGGGATGGGAAGGCAGGAAACGCCTCAGCGCTGCGTGGTGACGAGAGACGGAGAGAGAGTGAGAAGGCGCAATGACGGAAAAGACGCAGGTCGGCCAGCCTCGTTGTGCTTCATCCACGCCCTTGCCTCATGCGACGAGAACTGTCCAATTCAAACGCGCTTCGCGCAGAGGCTCAGCTCAGGGCATCCGCAACCCGGACATACTGTTCCATCGCGCTCTCCAGCAGTGGCCCGGCGTCAGAAACCCCAAGCCAACTGGAGCGCTGCTGCGGCTTCGTGCTGTCCACAGGAACATGCCGTGACATCGTTCACCGAACTGCAGCGACTTCCGCCGCATCTGGGTCTTCATACGCCAATCATTGCGTGTTGAGACTACTATTCTGTTCGGCCCACTGACTTTATCCGACCTTTTCACAGACGGGGCGAGCAGCAGGAGCTGCAGGGGAAGAGGCAAACTAACACTCCGCAAAAGCGATGAGACAGAGGCATGGAAAACAGGCAGGCGACAAACTATCAAAGGATCAGAAGAGGGAAGGGGAGGGACTTGGCTAGTAACAGATCTGCCTTTCTTCGGCAGAGAGCAGCGTGCAATTGCACAAGCTGCCGTTTCGGAAAACAGGCGAACAGGCGCTGCATGAGCACAAAGGCAGCCCCATGGGCTGCGAAGCACCAAAAGCCAGCGTTTAACTAAAGTGCCCACTAGATCCGAGGCAGCCCCTGTGTCTGCAATCAACTTCCACAAGTCAGAAACTTCGGGCTCTGGTCGGGATCTGTGGCACTCTCGCTGCGCAATACGCAGAACCGACTCGCTCAGCGAAGTCGGACTTGTAGCGGGCCTGGAAAGGCTCAACAGATACGAAGATAGATGGCTGCATGAACGTCCCTTCCAATTGATGTTCCGAGCATGGCCTCATTCACAACCTCATCGGCCCAGAGTAAATTTCGACTTCTCGCTTCACGATGGCCTGCAGGTCTGAAAGGCGAAAATTGCATCTCGCGGCAAGCCGGGTGGATTTTGCTGCTCGGTGCCTTCCCATCGTGGACTAGGAAAAGGGGCGATCGCTCGGCTTGGCCGCCTTCGGTGCCATGGAAGTGGTTCACGTACCTTGACACAGTAACAAGCAGAAATGCAATGACTCCAGCCTTTGGTCGAGGGCCCAGCAGGATTCCATCCTCGAACTGAGAGAAGTGCCTGCTTGAGTGGCCGTAGACCTCGACCGCGATCGACTTATGTAGAAAGTACTCACACCCGCAGGATCCGCAGGCCAGCTGGCACTGCAAGGCCTCATCTTGAGCGGACGTCTGGGGTGCAGGCATGCACCCTGTTTCGCAAGCGGATGGACCTGACCTCAGTTCCGTGAAAGCAATCTACTGCTGCAACAACTCTGGACACGGCGACCGTCAACAAGGACTCACTGCAACACTGCAGAAGGCTGCCTGATCATTGAGATCTTCGCAGCCCATTGCCTTTCACGGCAGCTCAACTAGAAAAGAAACTTATGCGAAAACCCGTGAGAATTGCCATGCTGCAAAACGCACTGGTCCTTCGCTGCACGCCCGAAGGCAGCAAAAGGCAAGCTCTTCGACGGCAGGAAGTGCCTGCAGCATAGACAGCATCATGCAGCATCAGTCTATTAACGACACGAGCGATGGCTCCGAATGTACCAGGTGAGGGACGAAAAGGTAATGACATTTCCGTGGTACGGATGCCTTTGGAGCAGGAGCCAAGCATCCTTACGGCTCACACCAGGACGAGCTTTTAAGCCCCGCTCTGAAGGTGCGCTTCGTTCAGCTTCAGCATGTACTTCCACACCTCCCATGGGCCCGCAACCTCCGAGTCTTCTTGGACGTCTTCCAGCCTGCGCGTCAGGGTCCAGCGGCCATCGGCACTGGTGGTCGAAGTTGGCGTTCGGGTCCGGGAAGGGATCCTGGCGAGGCTCTGCAAGGCCTTTCTATATCATCCAAACCCATCACACACGCCCCCCCTCGGCCCCTCCTTCTCATCAAACTCGGCCGTGTACCAGGACAGCAGTGGCACCACGAAGATGTCCTGCGATTCCGCACAAAGGGTGGAGCTCGTCGTTTAGTAAGCAGCCGAAAGGGATCCTCGCAAACCGCGGAAGGGAAGCAGTCCACACCCAGCCTCGGCCGAGAGGTTGCGAGATTGCGAGCAGTAGGTAGGGCAGACACACGCACACACTGCAGCTTGCATCTCAGCGGAACGCTCATCGCAAGTCTCCATGATCCCAAGCAGCTTGGCCAATGAGTCTGGGTACTTCGTAGCCTTCAACAGCTCAGAATCGAAAGGTCGCGGAGTTGTCGACATGGATGTTGCATCTCATTGCATGCATATCGACATGCGAGGAGCCTCTGTGGGATTAAGCCAAAGCTCATGATTTCCGGGGACGTAGAACACTCGGCGAAACTTGGCCTTTTGCGGGAAATCAGCTTCACGGAGCATGTTGCTCTGGACTGAGCGCAGGCCTTCAGCGTCGTCAGCGCTCGCACAAGCGCGTTCCTGCCATTGCAAGTATGGAAGTCTGAAACGATGCAGATCTGCACCGGACCGCCTTGTGTCACAGAGGTTGCCGGCCACGATCAATACATCCTTCACGACAAGCAGCAAGGCATTCTCATGCTCCGACAGCCATACAACCCCAACAAGTGACTCCTCTTGGAAATCGAAGTCGTCGATTCGGTGCGCCCACTCCTAGCTTCGCAGGTCAGCTTGCAAAATAAGTGGCGGACCGGTACCCGGCTGACGCCGGTTGTGCTGCTCCTCGTTACACTTGTGGTCAAAGTGCACGTCGGAGATGACATAAACCTGTCAAGTTAGGTAGCCCCTTTGTGCAGTATGGCCGTGGGAAAAGAATCCACTGAACATGTTCTCTCCTGTGACGATCCTCGGCACTGCCGAGCTCTCCACGGGCAAGGATTTTGGGGAGAGCGCACGGAGTTCTTTCCCGCAGAGTTTGCCCTGTGGCCCTATGACATCTTTTCGGATGGTCGACTGAGATACCTTCTGCCTTGATCTGATACGCGGGGACTTTCATTGCGGAGTTCGAGGCCGAGATCGAAGGTCCACTACGTCTGAGCCCAGAGTCCAAAAAAGAGCACTTACTGGCACTTGCAGACTTATCAAACTTATCAGACGCAGATCCGAGACCTTGGTGGTACCCTTTGGACGCCAAAGGTCGACTCCGAATCGCTCACCTTTCGCAGGAAGGGAGCCTGACTCTGAGCCTCCAAGCGGTGCACAGGCAGAGCGCAGAGTGCCCTGCGGAAGCGCTGTCTGGCTGGCACCGTGCGCCAGAGGGGCAAGAGGCTGATGCAAGCCTGACACAGCACAGTCACTGCTCGAAGTGAGGTTTCAGCTTCGGCATGGCCTGACGGCCCTTCAACGCTGCCACGTTGTTGGACTCCAGCTTCAGCGCATGGGCAAACTGTACATAAGCCTGATTCCAGCATGCAGGCTCATGCAGGCTCATGCAGGGTAGAGGTTCCAGAGCACGAGGTCACCAGACCCACGGGCCTTCTCCACTTGGCCGCACGCCAAGAGGGCAGTCCCGAAACGAGTTCGGGCCTGAGTCTCTGAGCGCATGGGACATTGACCTATTGACCGGGCGCTCCCAAGTGTGGCCTTGACGAAGTCGCTCTTCTTCTCCACGGCCTTCCTCAGGAAAACGGGAGCCCAGCCGGCGGGCCGGCGCAGGATCTTCAAGTCTGGCACTGAGTGACGGGCTCTGCATCGGAGGAGGCCTGGCGCCAGTTCTTGAGCTGGCCTCGAGCCAGTCGAGCCAGGCGGCCAGGCACGGTCCGGTCGCTCGCCCTTTGAGCGGCGCTCCCGCTGCTCCCGCTGCTGTCTGAGGCGGGTGCTGAAGGCCGACGCTCGGTTGGAAAAAAGAACTGACCTGAAGGCTCACGTCGAAATCGATTTTCTGACTCTGGGCGCATGCGAGGCATTGACCGCAGGAGGGCATGCTCGTCCTCTGGCGGGACGCCATCCGGAACCGATGCCTTCACCTTGAAACACACCGTCCGCATCTCCGGGGGTGTCATCTGTATCACACTCGCTACCGGAGCACCTCTGCAGGAACCATAGCGAGACCTGCTGTGTAGTGCGCTGCTGCCAAGCCAAACTCATTGCTGCGCATGGCCTCGAGAGCATCACTTGCTGAGAATATCTGCCCCAAACTGTCTCGTCATCCCTATGTTCGATTCTACAGTATAGTATGCTAGATAGAGGTGTCCAGAAACCGTGCGTCCCGATCCTGGCTGCCGCAAGCTAGTCTTTGGGTCGCCAAGGAAAGGACCATATTGCCCTCTTCCTTCTCTTTGTGCGCAAGATCGGTATCCGCGGAGTGCAACTTGCAGGGCCACAGGAGGGAATCGGGTAATCGAGCCGGGGGAGTGCTGCTCACATCGCATCACACGTCGCCTGATGCGCCACGGAGGCCAAGGCATCGACGTTCGAACCTGGGGCTTCGTCTGCAAGGCGATGCAAGGCTTTCCGGTTCAAGCTTTCTCTTCGACCGAGGCCTTGGCTGGAGGGATCAAAGGCCACCGCCTTGCGATAGGCCTCCAAGGCCTCCTTGCCCTGGGGCGAAGATCTCAAAGCTGAAAGTGCCCCCCAAAGCGTCGCTTTTCGGCCTGACCCATCTTCAGGTTGGCGAGGCCAATTCGGCTCCAAGCCCTGCCGGGGCCCCACTGCAAAGCGGCGCAAGGCGAGAGGTGCTCGAAGCTCGAAAACGTCTTATCGCTGGCCTTCCCCAGTTCGGGTAAAGCTCGAGAGCACGCTGGGCATCTTCTTTGGATGCCTGAAATTGGCCGACCTGAGCCGGGCGGGTGTTCACCAAAGCACGAGCGGCATCTTTCCTTCTTGACAGGAGCCCCCCGATTTGTCCCGTTTTGTCCCGAGGTCTGTCTGCCTCCGTTCTGAGGGGGGGAATTTCTTGCTAGCCCGGCCCGTCGAGGGTTTGATGGGTTTCCCGTGCTCCATGTCGGTGCATTGATGACGACAACTCGACAAATGATTTCGAGCCTTGGCCCAGCAGGCAGAGCGGTTTGACAGCACCTCGACAGCATGCAGTGTCTACGTTTGGCTGCCCTGGCTACCCTCGCGCTGCCGGCATCTCCTCAGGGTCGAGCTGCTGCTTCGGCTTTACAATCGTCCGTCTCGGGTCTGTCTTCCAGACACCTGCGAACCCAACGCCATAAAGCACCAAGCAAGCTCAGAAACGACATTCCGCCTGGTATAAAAGCTCGCTCCTGTGTAGAAATCACCCCGCTTGAAAGCCTCACAACACACAGAGATCTCTGCACTGCAGGTCCGGTAGCTTGATGCCCGCCTCATCGCCGAGACCTTTCCATGGCATGGCCAAAGGCTCCGCAGCCTGTCGCCCATCACCAGGCGGTGGTGGCGCTGGAGCGTTGGCCAACGAACGTGGCCTTGGCCGTGTTTGCATGAAACACACTGCGTACCGGCAGCAGCGAAAGCACATTCACATACTCCACTCCGTCTTGATGCTAGCTCAGCGGGAGCACGCTGGCTCAGAAGCTCCAGTGGAACACTGCGCACTGTGATTCATTGATGGATTGGTTGGTTGGTTGGTTGGTTGATTGATTGATGGATTGATTGATTAATTGACTGCCTGCGGGTCCGACACCCCTGCACTTGCAAGGCAAGAGAGGCTGCTTCGTGCTGTACAACAGAGACAGCGCTCACACACACACACACACACACACGAAGACTGCGTGGGCAGAGATGGGCATGTACAGGAGAATACAGACAAAAGAAGCTGCTAAGATTAACTCTTAGCGATATGCGTGTAGACGCGAATCAGAACTCCGAGCACGGAGAGAATACGGCACAGCACGCCGCCAGCAATGGCAATTGCACTGCGCACTGTGATGGCGCCTAAGAACAAATATGCTTTCAAGTCGGAACATGCACGCACACCCGCACGGGTACCTCTCCTGTCGACATGGAGAGCCCCCCCGCCCGCATAGCGGAAACCTCTCGTCGATTCCCTGACACACAGCCAATGCATGCGAGGCGCTGTCCGCAAGCGGACATTCGCACACGAACATGTGTAGAGCTTCAAAACTCAAAAAGCTGGCACATGAAGCCGTCCAACCTGACCAATGACAGCAGGGACTGCGAATGCAAAACAGCCTAGGATCACGGCAAGATTTTCCGGCAAGCCTGCATGCGCCAATGGCAAGGATTTGTCTGTCCAGCTAAGAAGGTTGCACAGCCTTGAACATGTGGAAGGCTGTCATCTTGAGCAAGGGAACGAGGCTTTCCTGCTCTTGCGTGACTGGACGGTCGATGCGAGACAGTGTTTGCGACGTTCCTTCAAGTACTGCCATTCGGGCTGAGCCTTCTTCTTTGCACCTGAGCTGATCCCTTTCAGAGAATGCCAGGTGGATTTCGACCGCGTCTGAGTCATTTGCAGGGCGGAGAGGAAATGGAGATGGCATAGGTGGGAAGGGGAGCCAGGCTTCGTGGACCGGACCGGGACCTCTCAGCAAAGCGAGCGAAGCGATTGAAGCCGTGGAAAATGGCGTCACGTGGCCTCGCTTGCCCCAGGTTGGTGTAGAAGGTCACAGTGCATGTGGGCTTCGTGAAGAGGACCATTGGCTCTCCAAGGGGCTCAAGCACGACCTCTGAATCAATTTGAGAGTGCTGCGAGATGACTTCATGCCATTGATGTGAGATTCGATCAGGCCTCGCATGTTGGATCTCCCTGCTCCCGGCGAGCTTGACGTCCTCGAAGAGATGCCAGCGCCGTGCTACATTCGTGCCGCGGCTGCAACAAATCAGCGGCCGACTGAGCATGGCCGGCGCATCGCAGAGGCCTCCATGACCATGCTTCCTTCAGGACTGTGGCCCTTGTGCCCTCCAAGACCCGATCTTTGCAGGAGCGTTGGTCCGAGGGCCGGGCAGGCCAGCTGCTGCTGTGGCCGTTGAGGCCGTTGAGGAGCCCTTCCAGCCATCGGGAGGCCTTTCGTGACCACGAAAGCAGAAGAGGTTGGGCAGAGACACAGCATTGAGGCAAGTGCCCGAGGCCGTGCATGTGCAGGAAGTCCCGGACAGTCCTGACGAGAGCGTCGCTATAGGCCCAGCTCCAGGCACCATCGCACGATCGCAACACCGCGTCCAAACGATCTCTTCTTTTCCCGTCCTGCCGACAGCCTTCCCCGTTGTGCCTGCAAGTGGCCAGGCCACACAGTGCCACGCAGCAAAGCGTCCGAGAGCATCCAATCCAGTGAGAGCTTGCTGTCCTCGAGCATGCCCGTTTAGGCCATTCTTCGCAAGTCCCTGCCCAAGAGGCAGGATACTGCTGCAGATTGCCCACTTGCATCGAGCCACGTTCGAAGCAAAACAACTCATTGACAAGGGGCTTCCCAGAAAAGGCTTGCCCTAAACGCCACAAGGGAAGGGGCACCCATCGATAGATATGTTCAAGTTGTTCAAGTTTTCCTCGCTGCGTGGGTATCTGCGGTCCCTGAGAACCATCATCGGAGAAAAAAATTATCTTCCACCAGACATCCAGCGATTGCCTTCGCCGATGCTGCAGTCAAGCCTTGCCTCAGACTGAAACACGCATGGCTTGACCATGGCAGTCGAAGCGCTCTGGGAACCCAGCAGCGTTCTGACTCTCTCAATGAGCCCCTCCGAGCCCGATATCTCTTGCACCTGAAAACTGCCCCATCCCTCACGCTCGATGCAAGCCTTCCCAGTCCCCGGAGATGCCAGACAAGCCTGTTGCAGCGCCAGGCTCACTTTCTCCTGCAGGCTTCTGAAATGCACACGTGCAGATGCAGGATGAAGCGACTGCGGTGCCTTTGCAGCGGCTGCTGTCGGCTCAAAGCCGTACCTGAGACCGGGGATTCTTGGAAAGCTCACCATGCGAGCTGCCGTTCAGGTCACTCTGGGAGGATGTCGCTCAGCGCCACCCACACCTGCATCGTGGCGGCTTTGGCTCCGTACGGCGGAGAGCTGCGCTTCTAGAGTGGCTGAGACTGGCTGTTCTGCCTCGGACTGCCCAGGCGAAGTCTTGGAAGCCTTGAAACTCCGTATTCAAAGTGGACCAACTCGCTTTAACTGTCGTTGCATCTTCTGAACTTCTCGTGAGGCCAAAACCGCTGCTAGCTTCGCCTGACATCGCAATCCGAGAAAAGCCGGAGCTACCGATGTCCGCCCGTGGATCGAGTCTTTTCTCTGATCACAGCCTGGAACGAGCTCTTCTCACTCGAGGCAACCACATCCTCCGGAATGGCAGACCATGTCGTGTCTTCGGAATATAGGCACAGCGGTGTGGCATCGCATCAATTGGAGGCTGATGCCAAATTGCTTTAGCACGCTGCAGGCACTCAGACACGTAGCACCGGGTCCAGAAGGAATTGCTTTGACCGCGAGGGCGAAAAGTCCGGCCCATGCCAGGCCTCAGAGAAACCACACCGACACAAGCCGAATCCACACCTTCGTCCGGACATTCTGAGCTGCACGCAGTTCCTGCACAGTTCAGGGAACGTATCGAACCGAGCTGCTGCCTCTCGGAAAATGGGGTGTACCTGCGACGCAAGAGAATTCACATCGTCTCGTCTACCTGCCAGCTCCCGTGGCACACCCGCCGGAGAAGTGCTGCAACATCCGCACCGTCCTGCTCCGGAAATTGTCCAAGCTTGATCTGCGTGAGCTGGCTCAGAAATACTTGGCTGCGAGCGCACTGCGGGGCAATCCCACGACATCCATGATCTTGCTCCGGATCTCAATCATTGTCGAAACATCACGATTGTTCAACCATTTTGCTGTTGATCATTTGTTTTCTTGATCTGACTGTTTCGTCGTGCTCAGGATAGGTTTCGTCTGCCAGTAGTCATCTCCACCCCAAGAGGACACTTCAGTCGTCCCAAAACTTCGACTGAGGTCGAAACCTCGGCAATCGTGGAAGTCTTGCCCACTCGAAGGTGGAGTTTGCCCTCAGTCTGCATGTGCTTGACCGTCACCACGACCTCGCATTTCGCAGACATCGCAGAGTGGTGCAGATTGCAAAGCTGCCTGGTCCGCAGCAGCCACCGCAGCTGGCTTTGCGGAGCTCCTCGAGATGCCAGCTCATTGGGGGCCCTCAGCTCGAGTCTGCAAACCGGCAGACCGTTGACCTCACCGGGGCCACGTTTGTGACGCCAGCTCGGCACCTGAGCAAAACTGAGCAGCACGGGCTTGCGCCAGCATCTGGCTTCCGAGTGGAGCACACGAAATGCAGAGAGCCAGCTGTCGTGAGGCCCTCTCCCTTCACCTTACGAAGTCAAGAAGTCAAGGTTCGAGACGAAGCTCTTAGACTTGCGACCAAACAGGCGCCTGGACTCGCAAGTCGCCCTGACCAGAAGCGGTATTGTGGTAGAACCTCAAATTCCCATGATGTCCATGGCTGTCAAATGGCCAATGGGCCTTGCCTCTTCTGACCACTGCCCATGACCGCCCCACGTTTGTCCGTCTCAGGCCAACACGGGTTCTTGCCCCAAAGCAACAGATGTCTGCCAGCCACGCTCGCCGTCTGCGGGGCCATTGAAGAAGCAAAATCGGCAAGCCAGAAGAACGGATCAAGAATTTCAGAATCAGAGCCGCTGGAACCCTACCTCCACCCAAAGCATAGGCTCGTGCTGCACCTCACTGCAGAAGAAGCTGGCACTCACGATGAAACGAGCTCTTACAAAACGGGGCTGGGACGTTCTGGCCAAGTCCGATTCGCGATCGAACCAACAAGTCCTCGAGACAGCGCAGGAACATGGAGCCCTTTACCAGCTGGAAGGACGGAAGGACTTCGGGCAAAGTGAGTCGCGATGTCTCAATTGAGCAGAACTCCAACATGCCGTAGTGAAGTGACTCACGGCGGTTTGCATGCTTATTAAGTATTGGTTCAGAAGGAACTCAACGTCATTTTGGCCTGCGAATTTCATCCTGGATGCCTCCATCGCACACTGCACATTTACTGCGACACGGTGGATCTTTCCCTCGAAAGAGCACGACCCAGCCTGCTGTTCCTGTCACAAAAAGAATAGAGCTCAACCTGTACTCTCTGTCTCGTCCACCCCCGAATCCTTCAAGTCGAACACTTCTCAAGTGCGTGGGGGCAAGCCAGCGAGCAACATCAAGGAGGTGCCAGAGGAGGGGACGAAAACGCCAAGTCGCTGAAACGCTTGAAACAACACGTCAAATGCTACCTTGCAAAGATCTACTTCTGAAGTAAAGTCAAGACATTCTTACCGCAAGCCCTTTCTCGTCCTGACCCTGGCGCTCCACGACAGCATGCGGCTTGGACCTTGGTGCACCCCGCGGAGCGTCAAGACTCTGCAACCTCCCTCCTCGATGCAACTTGGAGCTGTCTGGCGACGGCTTAGCGCGGGACGACATTTTGAAGCACAGTGTGTCCGGTCGTGTGTCCTGATCAAGATTTCCCTTCCATCTTGCGCTGTTGTGGACATGACATGCGGACGAAAGCCACTTCGCCATTTTGCCGAAGGTCATTGGATGATATGCACACAAGGTCGCAGACGAGTCGCAGGCACGTTGGCAACCGAAGTGTCAGATTGTGCTGTACAGATGCTTTTGTGTTCACCCATTTGAGAAGCCAAGTTGGACGAGTGGAGCATCCGGAGCATCTCTGTCTCTGAAGGCTTCATCAAGCTTCGCTGCCTTCTGCCATACTCTGTAGACTGTAGAGCAACCCCTCGCGGCTTGACGCTGCCAAACCGTCAATGACTGAAGAACCTCTCAATAACTATCTCACGATCCTTCTGTGCTGACGAACGCGGTCCCAGCGAGAACAACTTATATTACTTGCATTGGTCTGTCACAGTCATTCCATCTGCTGAAGAAGGCGGTCCTCGTGATGGTCACCGCCAGATCTGAAGGTTACGTCGTGAGGTTCGGTTGCACCTCTTGGGATGTCGACCTGCCAATGAAAGCGAATGTCTCAACTTTGAAGTTCTAAGCACAATCCCTGAACTCATGACGGCTCGGCACGATAGACTCGGATCTCATCTTTCAAGCCTCCGAAATCCTGCGTGCCAGATGGTTCTCAGTGCCCTGTGTGGCGCTAGCTTGTTGACTAGATGCGGTCCTTCACACGCCTGCTTCGCCGTATGCCCTTGTGACCACCATAGAAGAACCTGTCACAGGCCGAAACCTTTCAGAGAATGCGGAGCCGGCTTCAAGAGCTGAGCAGCACGCTTCTCTAGTTTCACGGCCATTGGCACGTCAATGTGCTTGCCAGGAGGCTTTTGCATCTCCTGCCAAAAGTGCAGGGAGCACAGGTAGCGGTCAGAAAAGACATGCTGCAGCAACTCCTGCAGCTTCTTGAGGACTTCACTAGCATCAAACTGTGCACGGGTCTTCGGCTTGAAGCCGTTCACCTGTCAGTCACAGACAGTCAAAGCACACAAAGTCACAGAGGTCACCCCGTTCCACATTGCAACTTCTCGTCTCCGCCTCGAAGGAGGCCTTGTCCCTGTCACGTTCCCGATCATACCTTCAGACCACACACGAACGGAACCACACAAATCAAAACAGCTCATATGACCCTCCATCTTCTTCAGAACTTCACAGGAACTTCACTGCGGAGTCGGAGTCGGGACACGGGATTCTGTGTCACCGCTGCTCGAGGAGCCAGATGCTAGGCTTGATTCATCTGGAAAACCAGTACAGGTGCCAAACGGAGTCCAAACCCCAAAACAAACAACATTCATGGTAACAGCCAGAGGACGAAATCTGGAAATGGTGGAGACAGTGCAGGGAATTACCCTCAAGCCAGTTTTGTCCACTAGCCAAACCTGTTGCCGCCCCAACCCTCTTGTGCACTGTGTTTTGCCTGCAGTCTGCTGATGCTAAAGCCCGAAAACCCTGAACCCCGTCCACACACTCAGCCTTGAACCCGGCAACGAGGTCAACTCAACACCTTCACTAAGGCAGCAGCTGACGACGGGTGGGATTGTCCCCCAGTGTCAAGTATGCGTTCTTCAGCTCAATGAAGATGGCAGCGTACCTGGAGAATGTGGGGACGAGGTGTGCAAGGATGCTGACAGCCAGAATTCTTCCGCAGGGCTCGGGCCCGGGGCACTCCTCTTTCTGTTCCGTGCTCAGGCCAGAGGTTTTGTCTGGATGGTACACGAGCGAGAGCTTCTTGTAGGCCTGCGAAGCAAACACACAAATCGTCCCTTTCTTTCCAGCCAGAAATCTGCGCCTTTTTGACCTCTTCCAGGGTCGAAAACTCATCTATGCCAAGGACCTCGCTCCGCGTTGTCGATCTCGACATGTCACTGCAGCTGAGATGGTGACACGCCTTGTAGTAGTTGATACCTGACAGCACACTTGCCAAGCTGAATGTGCTGGTGTCGCAGTGATTCCGTACACATGTGTGTTGCCAAACCAAACGCAATGCATCCGGGTGCATCGGTCAAACTCGTGTGCTTTCGGAGCCGAGAAATCATCATCCTGCAAGCTGGAATGACACAAGATGCAGCCTTCGGTCTTGCAGAAGATGCCCATCAAACGACCCCATCGGGCGGTCCACAGGCTTGAACGATGGGTCGGTTTTCTTGCGCTTTTCGTCCCGGTCACAAGTGAAGGTCCAACATAGGTCCTGTTCACCGAACATGGCTTCTGATGATGCAGAGTCTGCAAGAAGTGCAACGGGCCTCCGTCTTGCGAACTCCTTGCATGAAAGGGCTGTTTTGGAAGGCCCTGCGGTCGGTGCAAAGTTCTGCAGAGCCGACTGCCGAAGCAACAACTGGTCGGAACATATGCCCTCAGCTCGCGGCGCATATTGGTCTGCATTCATCTTCGAGGTCTCCCGCTTGCCAAGACGGGCCAGTGAGTCCTGCAGGCGCGCGAGCACGAAAGAAAGGCGAGGGCTTGAGCTTCCTCTCGGGCCTGCTTGAAGCTGAATTGTCCATCGAAAGTCGTCACCGCCATGGCCTTTTGCCGGGCTTACGCCGATCCAGGACCGAGGCGTCGAGGCGTCGAGCGATGCAAACTGGTTCCAAGCTGCAGAGTTTTTTTGCCTTGGGCAAACGTCTTGTGTCTACGACGAGTCTATGGCGAGTCTAGGGGTTCTTCACTCCGACTTTGATCTCCGTTTCCTGACGGACATTTCAACCGGACAGCCCTTGCACAGCACTCAGCTGGTGGAAAAGTGTGCTGCGCTTGGGCCTGCAAAAGCTGCAAAGCACGGCTGGCTGCGTCAGGTCGGCACATCGACACATGCTGCAGGAATGCAGGGATGGACCGAGATGAAACCATACGTCCACTGCCCAACATCGAACCTGACATGACCGGCCCTAACGTGGAACCAGTCAGAGCTCCAATTAAGCAAGAGTCAACACTGAGGAGCGGGCTCCCGGATGTACTTGCTGTCCAACACTGTCTTCTTCAGCGCCATGAGCCTTGCATCGCAATGCAAGACTAAGAAGTGGACCGCGGAGCCACTCCTTTCTTAATTATGCTGAGGTTCGCTGGAGCAGAGGGCAAAAGGGCCTTTCGTGGAGGGGAGGCCCCCCCCGTTCGGCCCTGATCCCTGCACTCCCTCAAGCTCGAGGCAAGAGGCCGGGCGCGTCAAAGCTGACAACATGCTGACGCTCACAAGCACCGCCTTTCAGACACGTGCCCCAAAACCTGGCAGCTGCTGAAGCTCCTTTTCACTGACTTAAAATGCAGACGTGACATCACATTGGCACTCTCTTCGACCACAGGTTTTTCCTGAGAAATACCCAACAGTCGCGAAGGACTGCTAGCTGCTGCGAGCTCATCAACATATTGCATTTTGATGATAACAGCAGGTTCTAGAGTATAGAGTTCCAGCATTTCAACACGGGACATGCACTCTGGTCAGGGAGTTCCTACTCGTTTCTACACACACGAATTACGAGGTGACACCCGTAACAATGGCAGATTGCGCTACCATTCGGAAAGCTTTGACCGCTTCTGCACAGCGTGCAGCTGCACAGGGTGTTTCTGAGCTCTTGTCACACACTGTGGCGGCGAAGTGCTCTGTCCAGTTGAAGTACTGCAGCAACTGTTTCTGCAAGCATTGTGCAAGAGAAAACACCCTCACAGAAGGAAGACTCTTGCTTCGTCTGCGATATTTCTTTTGCAGGGGTAGGCTCCATGCTACTGCTAGGGCGGACATGTGTGAAGGAAGCTGCTAAGGCCTCCGCATTGCAAAGTCACGATACACAAGCAAATGTGACATCTGACTCTGCACTCCACATGAGACACCAATTCGCGATGCCTGCAATGGGGAGTCCCAGCGTGCACACAGGAAGGGCTTGCAATGAGATTGGCAGGCCAGCCAAAGTAACAATTCAAGCCGTAATCGTAATGAGCAAGGAAACCGGCAAGCGGGGGGTGGGAGGGTCTATATGCCATCCTATGCTCATCTGCCTGACAGTTCCAAGTGTCCAGCAAAGCCTCTGACTTATGATGTCGCATTCCTGGAATCTCGCATACGAATTCAAACGCCGCGGAGAAACACACCTTCGTCCCTTCATTCACTAGGACTCGAAGCCATGTCAAGAAGCCCATGGAGGTCGCCTTTGGGGCTCTTCAAGAAGCCTTGGCTTGGGCAACTCTTCGCAGCGGAGAATTCACAATGCCTGTGCATCGATTTTCTTTGGGGCCCCGTCTCTATGCGTATAGCTTCCTAGCATGTCAAGATCCTCCAGCACCAGGAACTTCTCCGACTCTGTTTCATCTGGGCAGCTATGAAGACCTTCCCAAGCTTCTGTCTCATAAAACCTGTAAAGAATCAGGTCAGAGGCCCAGTCAGGAGGTGGCCAAAAAGTATGTAATGTGCAAACACACCGGGGAAGTACGTCGGACGCACAATGGCGCAAACATGTGTCGGGTGGGCAGGCAACTGAACATCTAAATTGTGTAGCTAAGTCGAATCCAACAAAGCTACCGAATGGACAGCAGGCCACAGGCCCCTTAACCCGGTCCACTTGGCACTGCTTCTGAGACGCTGATGATCGAACAGAAGCATTAGCAATCTCGACAGGGTTCGCAAGCTGCGATTTCCTTACAGGTTCAGAGCTGCGACCGAAGCCACGCATGGTAATCTCTTTCAGGCGCGGACTCCAGCCAAGTAGAGAACTCGGCCATGGAATCTCGCCGCCCACCAAGAAAATCCGGCCTGGGGACTTGGAAAGAGGATTCCTTCAGGGCCACAGCTCCCTCCGAGCCCCGCACAACATCTCTGTCCCAAGCTTCTCAATCGCTGCCTGGGGCCCACCCCTGTGAACACGTGACCTGGCCAGTAGAGCCACGTGCACCTGAACATCCCGTAGCTGCTTAAGGACCGGCCTCATCTTCGAGCCAAACTTGGAAAGAAAAAATTGCACTGCAGAGGTGGCAACCCAACGAGCCTCGGTGACGGGCCGGGTGGGAGGCAAGACGTGACAAGATGCTCTCTGCCAACTCGCCTCTGTGACAAACTTAACTAAAGACTGCCATTGCTCCTCGCATACCTAAAGAGCCTAAAGTTTGAGCGCAAACAGTTGTCCGGCTCCCTAAAAGGCTTCTCTAGCCGACTTCGGGCAGCAAAGGTCCCAGCTTCATCTTCGATGAGTTGAACATGGGGTGCCTGGATCCAAGGTTCTACTTTCAAGCCAAAAGCCAACCCTCCAAAAGAACGTGCCTTGATCGGAAGTGCAGAGCATAATTCAATTCCTCTTCTCATGTCGTTCCAACCAGAGAGGCATGCCTGCCAGCTCGATGGCTTCGCAAGATCTGCAAGCTTGGCAGTCATATCATGTGAACCTGCCAAATGACGGAAGAGAGCAGCCGCACGTCCAGCACCTCTCAATCACTTCTCATATTTGATCCGGAACTACGGTATATTTCCTTCTGAAACCGCGGACAGCAAGGCTCCGGCTATGGTGATACCGGGATGGTCCGGACGACTGTCCTCAGCTTCAACATCCGACTGGCTCTGTCACTGCCAGACACAAAACTCTGAGTTGTTTGCTCTCAAGGCTGCCTCCATCATAAATATAATCAGCAACTGGTACTCCTGTCAGCCGCGACACAATGGCATGACAGTGACTTCACAACTGGCTTCAGAGAGCTTGGGCCTGCATGGTGCACAATCGCCTCGCATGCGGTCAGACTTTGCCGGCTGCCGGGGACAGGATCCACACTGGCAGCCCAGGGCCCGGGGCGTGTTCAGCTTCTGCGCTGTGAAAACGAGGAGGTGGGAATCACCTTGCAAAACACGCACTCAGAAAAGCCCAGGGATCGGCCCAAAACGTTTTCCGCCTGGCCATCGAGGCGGCAGGTAGATGATGGCGCCGCTGCGCAGTGCCTTTGCGACGTGCTCTGCAATCTACAGCTGCGCGACTATCCACCCAGACCACCAGATGTGAGTCCGATGCAGCTTCCACTTGCCGGACACCTGCTTCGCTGTCTCGCGGTGGCCGGAGGCACAGCACACGCAAGTAAGAACCGGACCTATACTTAGCGGCCACGACCACCGCTGCCTATCACAGCAGAATTTGACAATGCTCGGGCCCTTTGTCTGGACAAGGAGCGACTCGCACAGATGACCAGGTGCGACACCTGAAGCGGAGCATCTTCTCCGCTCTGGCCACTGCTTTTCCATGCTTTCCGCCTCGGCTTCTGTGCTTGGAAACTCAGCTCAAAGCAGAAGGGAGAAACTTGCCTGAGGATTCCAGAAGGAGGAGCTTTGCCCAAAATTCGGGAAGAGGCCTCGGCTGAAAACGGATCATGAATCAAAACTATACCGCGGGCCCATGTTTTGGAAGCTGGGCGTCAGTCAGGCCAGCCACTCTCAGCGTGGCGTCGTCCCCTGGCGACTTGGACTCCAAACAAACTCCAAACTCGTCCCAAGCACGAGGCACACAGCATCAGCAGCCTGTGGCTGAGCGGATTGACTCTGCCAAATGCCGGATGAGCTCGGGAACCTTAAACACGTGTGACGTCGCCCGCGGAACAGCAGAGCTCGACCAACCCCAACGCGCGCATGCGGGAGCTCTGCAGTGCTGTCGTCAGGCAAGCTACGCTTAAGTACAGGGAGCTCAGGCCATGCAAATCAACCGGCAGAGACGTGAAGCACACTAGTCACTAGACGGCAGCCGAACCCCAACAGAGCACGATGGAAGGACAGCAGACATTGAACCCTTGAAGGGCTGATGCGTGGAAGGCGGTACAAGAACGATGGATCGCAAAAGCCGACCCAAAAAGAAGGATAACAAACCCTGCCCGAAAAGGGGCTGATGTGTGACATACCCGGCAAACACGATGGAGAGCGCGGCAACAAACAATATCCTGAAAGACCACAGAGGAAGGAAGGCAAACCTTGAACGCAAAAGGACGCACGCTAAAACCACAACGCAGGGAAAGCAAACCCTAAACCCGGAAAAGCTTATGGGCGAAACCCCAACTGACATAAAGAAAGGACAAACGCTACTTCTGACCCGAGAAAGGCCTTACAGGAACGGAGGAGGGCAAAACACAAGCCGAAAAAACACAAAGCAAGGACGGGACGCCTTGCGCCCTAAACGCAACGATGAACGATGTGCAAAAGACAGCAAAACCAAAACACGAAAAAAACATACCGCAACGATGGCAAGCCTTGCACCTAACAAGGGTGATGTGTGAAAACTGCAGAAAGAACGCAAACAAAGCAAAGCAGACCCTGAACAGTTGAAAATGCTGATGCGTGAAGGCTCTACCAGACTCTACCAGAACTGTGCACGGCCAAACCCAAACCAGGACATCCATTTTTCAACCTTAACACAGCTGAAACGGATACACGACGACAACGATGGACGGCCAAATCCTAACAGGTCCTGAAGAGCACACCTGAAGGACAATCAGGGATGATGCTTCAAACACACTTCAAGAACGATAGACAGCAAACAGCAAATCCAAACCTAACAAAAATGACGTTAACC